ATTGCCGCTGACTCGGGTGTGGAAATCGTGTAAATGTGACCTGGCAGTTAATACCTCTGGAACTATCAGTCAAGTCTCCAAAGATAACAAAATAGCCAAAAGTTTCTTAACATGTGTAATGCATTGCCGCTGACTCGGGCGTGGAAATCGTGTAAATGTGACATGGTAGTTAAGAACTCTGGACCTGTCGGTCAAGTCTCCAAAGATAACAAAATAGTCATTCTGAAAAATCTCAGTTGCTAACAAATTAATTATATTAATTTTTTAACTATTACCCTTATAAAAAAAAAATCTCCAAAAATAACAAAATAGCCAAAAGTTTCCTAATAACATGTGTAATGCATGAAGTGTATAATCTATCAAATCAACAAGAATAAAATTTTATTTGTGGGTCGGTCGTCGGTCAGACTAAAAGGATTTTTTTCCCTAAACCCACCACCTTATTTCTAATTTTTGAACTTCTCAAAACTATCCCTTAAAGAACAAATAAATCATAGATACAAAGAAGAAAAAGATCATTGTACAAGTGCATTAAGGTGACAGCAGATATGCAGTTCCTTGGAGGGAGTATATTCTAAGCATAAAGCCCTAAAGCAATGAGAAAAAACTATTGGATTATTATTTTATTTGAATCCACAATGATGAAAAATGTTCACCCAAGATTGACAAACAAGATTTATTTTTCTTCATACATATTTGACTTGGAATAAAACACATGGATCAGATGAGCAAAGCAAAGGACTTGCTGCTCTATGAAGCTTAAAGGAGGCGTGAGCAAGATAGAGAAACATATATACATGCTCGGAAGAGGTTTACAAAACTTCAAGAAAGACCAATAATTAACTCACTACAAGAAAATAGATTTTTTTATAACCGAAAATAATGACTAATTCTTCATTCGTTACTAATGTCCTTTACATTTGTAACTATTTTAAAATATCAGTTATTAATATTAATTTTAAAATTAAAATATATAATTTCGATACAAAAATTATATTTAATCACAAAAGATTTGTTATAATAAACTACTTAAATTTATAACAAAATCGGCACAATAAGGTATTTATTGGTTACTAGCAAAATATTGGTTATAAATAATTAATTTTTGTCACAAATATCAAATTTTACTTGTGACTAAATTTATCATTCATCATAATTACATTTTGTGACAATATATAAGATTCATCATAAAAGAAAATTATGAAAGGTAACAAATTTTTCTTTCACAATTATTCACAAAAAGTAACAAATTTTTTCACATCGAATCCAAAGATTTTGCATATTTTTAAGGACTTTTTTACCTTTTTAATTACAAATTTTATTACTAAAGTAAAAGTATAAGTTATACTTGTATAAGTGAGTTATACTTTTTCTCTTACAAATTATATTAATATTAAATTCATGTACCATACCAACTCTACAAAAAATTACATCACTCAAGCATATATACAAGAATGCAAGCATATAACATATACTTGTACCAGGGATAACTTTCTTTCACATAGTCATATATATATAGGAACATTATTTCTTCAGAGTATACTTGCACCAACAATTTCATAAGTGAAATTGTACTCAACTTAATGATTGTAACTTAAATACAAGCGTATAATATATTAAATTTTAGGACTTTGATTGGTGCACACCCGGATCCAACACCCGAGTGTACACCCCTCACATAAAAAAAAAAAAAAATTGGACCGGGTGCTGATGGGCTTTTTTTTTTTTCAATGGGGAGTATGCACATCCAAGTGTTGACCCAAGTGTGCATACATCATTTTTCTAAATTTCAATATTAATTTTTCCTTGGATATAACAACTTCTTGAGGATTGTCATATACTGTATATACATAATCATTACAAATCAAGTAGAGGTTGTTCTTTCTTTGCCTACAATCTCAAAATAAAGATTATGCTCTTCATCAACTTAGGCATATTGAGTTATAATTTCACTCCAATAGTCCAATCTCATTCCCATCTATAAAATAATTTGCTTCAAAGTGCAAGATAAATAATGTTCATGATTGGAATTAAATTCCCATTTTAGCAGAACAACAATACTATAGTTCTATGAGACCACATAGATTAAAAATC